CGGGCGGTTTAAGGCGGTCAGGCCGTGTCGGACGCTCTGCACTGCAGCGGAGCCTCTGTGTTCGAGACCAAATCTGAGGGACAGAGAACGTCTGGGTTCTCATTCCATTTTTCATTAACAGTTCACTGTAACCTGGACTGAACACTGTTTACTCAAAATACGGCAACAGCAAAACACACACACTTCTACACTTAGAAAAGACGGTTCTTCAAGGGTTCTTTAGTAAAGACAATGGTTCTATATAGAACCATGAACACTCACAGAACCCTTTTGCATGATAAAATGGTTCTTTGCATCAAGAAATAGTTCTTCAGATTGATTTATAATGTGATGTAGATGGTTCTATCTAGATTTTTTCTGAAAATGGTTCTATATAGCACCAAGAAGGTGCTTTTATTGTACAAGGTTGACATCGTAACAATAGCAGAACCCTTTTTGGGTGCTATATAGAACCATTTTCAAATAGGTTCTATATGGAGTAACCAGTCTGGGCCTGAAGTAGCTGTTCACTTATCGCTAACGTAACACTGAAAACCTCATTAATGAGAAACGTCACCACATTATCAGCGAAAAGCACTGAAGTAAATCATGTTATTTGGATGAAACAAGTTCTTATAAAAGTGTGTCACTATATTAAAGCTGCTGTATTTAAGTGCTGCTTAATTAATGACCAATACAGGAAAAACAACATAATCTAGACTATAGAAATAAAACATCAATATGCATCTTTTTATTATCACATCTTAGAACCCAGAATCGAAATCTAAACGAACAGTGAGGAACCTCGGGATCTATTTATGTTAACAGGCCTAAATTTCCACATAATGTCGAGTTAAAGTGACACAAACACACAAACATGTAAACAAACAAACAAACAAACAGAGCAGATATTCCTCCCTGCACTCGACTGTTACCCTCTCATCCCTCTGTTTGTGTGCAGTGTTTGTTTCTCAGCAGCAGGTCCTCCCACCTCGTTAAAGGAGAGGGGATAATTACAGGTCTTTGATCTACTGCAGGCGGGGGGTGGGTGGGCGGGGGGGGTGGAGGGGGTGAGTATGAAATCTGATCTCTCAGATATGTTCTCCAATCATAAAGGGAGAAGCATCAGGACATTTTACTGTTCAAGAGAAAGAGCCTGAGAGGAACACTGTACTGTCGGGTTTGGACGTTTTACAAAATGTGTCCTGGACCCGATTCAGGATCAGAATTCACATTTCCGGTTCCTCGCAGTCTCAATATTAATGAACCCTGAATTCACTCCACATCAGCTATATGTCTCATTTATTCTTCCACCCACTTATATTACAGAGTTCTGTGGGCTACAGTCGGGTCAGACAGACGTCTTTGGGTTTGTTGGGTTGTTGGGTTTATGGACTGAATGTCAGGGCTGGTTTGGGTCAGACTCAGCCAGAATGTTCTGAGTCTACATTTGTGTTTGAATAAACATTTCAGGCTCATTAAAGCTCCAGCTGGATCTGCAGTGAAGTTCAGGAGAAACCAAGGTTCTGATCCGAGGTGGCGCTTTTCACTCCTGTGTTTATTTCCGCCTTTTAGGAGCGAGAGCACGTTCTCCAAAAGGTTCTAGAAGAGTTTGAGTGTGTCCTTGTTCCACGTCTTATTGTGTTTATGTGTGCGTATGTGTGTGTGTTTGTGTTTCTGCTGATGTGTGTTTATGTCACCTGCACTGCTTGTTAATGAACTCTGCTGTGGGGGCGTCTGTCTTTGGTCGTGTTTGATATTTTGGGAACAAAACGTTCCGTTTGTCATGTTCTCCTCTTTGTGGTTCCGGTGCTGATGCACCTGTCTTACCTAGATTATGTCTCTTGGTTCTGGCGTGCTCGTGGATGTGTTTCTTCGTGAAGCAGCCGAAGAAGATGCAGTGGAGACAGGAGTGGAGCCGGTTCAGATGAGCTCCACACATGTGACATATACATGACTTCGCCTGTGAGGGAGAAAGAGAAGATTTGGTGATGCGGTACTTCATTAATCAGCGTTTATATGCAGCGTTATAGATCGGAGCGAAATACACATTAAAATAATAAGAAATATCAACAATGTAACTGATCTAATCACAGTGATACTGAGATAGACACTGCCGCTGTCTCACCGTGCAGAACTGCCTCCTTTAAATTCGGGCCGAAACCCCTGAGGTATCAGTCCAGCTGCAGTATTGAGAGCTGGGTACTAACAGACTTCGTGTACCAGAGTGTGTGAGTGGAGCGGCAGACGTTTCCGCTCCAGTTCCGCTCCGGGTTTTCTATTTCCCTCTCCTCACTCTCGCGTCAGAGAAACCACCCCGAGTCGGATCCACTCTTATGATATTTATTTTATGTCCTGAACGTATAGGGACACTTCACTCTTTATTACGTTAATTATATCATTTATAGCCACTATTAAACAAAAACTAGTTAAACATTCTGAGCTACGCAGGATGTTTTTAGAAGGCTTAGGCTTGAAGCGACGGCCCAATCTAGAAATCTGCTGAGGATAAACAAACACATCAGCTTTTAACGCCATCTTCATCACTCACAGCAAAACAGACGACGCGAGTCTGACTGTGTGTGTCTGTAGATGTTGTGATGGTGTGAATTTCCAGTCTGTAGTTCTGCTGATCAGCTCAGCGCAGACGCTGTATGAGCAGCCGTCGTGTGTGAGCTGTAAAGTCTCTGCTGCATCACTCGGGTCACTCAGAGGCAGCCAATGTGGAAAATGGACTGTCCAGATTGTGGGACGGAGCGGCACCGGAGTGGTTTCGGAGCGAGAGGGAACACCGACAATCCGACTTTCTCAAAAGCTGCTCCAAGCAAAAGCATGCTGCCCCACTCACACACTCTGAATGGAGATCTAAACATGGTAATGTGTTCTATTACGGTTCCATTAAAAACACAGATAAACACACACAAAGGCATCTAATGTTTACTACTGCAGTGCCGTTAACCGCTTACGAGCCTAAGTTCGCTTTCTCATTTTTCTGAAGGTCACAACACTCAACACAACATAAACATTGAAAATTACAATATTTCATTTTTATTTTCCAAACTACACTCGCGTTCCTTCAACACCTGATAAAAAGCACCAAAATATGTAACCGTATGTTCGACAGGACACACAGCACAAACGGTCACAGCTCAGCTGGACTGTTTCTGATCACTCGGTCTGTCTGTGTGAGGAGGTCGTCCTGCTAAGGCGTCTCTATTTATTTAACTATATGACTTTAACCTCTTAAAATATCAGACTTACTACAAACTAAGGCTTATTATTCAGTGACTACAGGGACTTCACTGCAAACTATTGGCGCTTTTCTTAGTTATGGAAGTGTGTATGAAACTCTGGGCCGACGGCTCAGTGAGGGGTTAAAAAGACAAGTAATCCAAAAGTAATGGAAAGTAATTGTACTGAGTTTTTAGTTTAGTAATCTTCTGGATTAGGGTACAGTAGAGTGACGTGGCAAAAATGTAATATCACAACACTTGCAGAAACTTTCGTGATACACAATGTCATGATATTCATTTTTTCTGATGTGATTAGCTGTAACAGACAAAGTACTGCAGTATTTAAAAATACCAATAAAAAACCTACAAATTAATTGCATTAATTATTTCACACACTGAGCTGCATTAAAGCTAATTAACCAGGACTAATGAATCTATTTTGTACTCAAACATGAAGCTGTTCAGTGTTTATGTACTGATGATATCCACCACACTCAGAAAAGCTCACTGTGACACTGTGATTTCACAATAATGATCAATACGGTCACCCTGCCCCGCCGTGGTACTAATCTGCACTGGTATACATGTTTAAATACTGCTATACGTCACGCCTCAGTACTGGCCGCATGTTTACAGGTCAGGAATAACCTGGCAGACAACAACAGAAGGATCTTCCTGTCTGAACACAAAACCCGGTTCCTCCGAGTTGCCGACCGCGAGCTTAGATTACAACAGGTTTAACCGCCAGAGATACACAGTGAGAGAGAGAGAGAGAGAGAGAGAGAGAGAGAGAGAGAGAGAGAGAGAGAGAGAGAGAGAGAGAGAGAGAGGGAGATACAGAGAGAGAGATAAAGAGAGAGAGACACAGAGAGATACACAGTGAGAGAGGGAGATAGAGATATACAGAGAGAGATACAGAGATACAGAGAGAGAGAGAGAGAGAGAGAGAGAGAGAGATACAGAGAGAGAGATAGAGAGAGAGAGAGAGGCAGATACAGACAGAGAGAGAGATACAGAGAGAGAGGCAGATACAGACAGAGAGAGAGATACAGAGAGAGAGAGATACAGAGAGAGGGAGATACAGAGAGAGAGGGAGACACAGAGAGAGAGGGAGACACAGAGAGAGAGGGAGATACAGAGAGAGAGGGAGACACAGAGAGAGAGATACAGAGAGAGAGATACAGAGAGAGAGATACAGAGAGAGAGGGAGACACAGAGAGAGAGGGAGATACAGAGAGAGAGGGAGATACAGAGAGAGAGATACAGAGAGAGAGGGAGACACAGAGAGAGAGATACAGAGAGAGAGACACAGAGAGAGAGGGAGATACAGAGAGAGAGGGAGATACAGAGAGAGAGGGAGATACAGAGAGAGAGGGAGATACAGAGAGAGAGAGAGATACAGAGAGAGAGAGAGATACAGAGAGAGAGGGAGACACAGAGAGAGAGAGAGGTCATCACTGTATTAAAAACACTAATAATTCATCAGCAACACCGATTACAATAACAACTAAGAGACTGTGCAGCTTAATCAGCTCCAGGTGTTGCTCCATGATTACTATGGTATTTTAGGTGGTCGCTAAGTTGTCACTAGGTGGTTATTACGGCACTGCCAGGTGGCTGTTAGAGTGGTTTGTGGTGGCTATGGTGTTCCAGACGGTTGCCTAAATGTCGCTGATTGGTTGCTATGGTATCGCTGGTTGTTGCTTTCGTGCTCCAATTTGTCACTAGGGTGTGGCTATTATATCCCAGGTTGTTGCTAGGTGGTTACTAAGGTGTCCCAGGTGGTTGTTAGGATGTTGCTAGGCAGTTTTCTCTGATTGTACAAAAACTGTAGGTCTGATCAGGAAGCTGAACACAGGCTCTGCACTGCTCAACCGTTAATTACAATTACCTATTATTATTTCAGCTGGAATAAATGATTCAGGGCTCCTTCTTACCTATACAAACCAAACACTGTGAGACAACTTATCTTTAGCATTTTAATGCTAACATGAACTATAGAAGTTAATTTAGTTATAATGATAATAATAATAATAATAATAATAATAATAATTTTATTCTCTATGTTCTACGTCTCATCGCAGCAGTCCTGAATGGAAACAAGAGGTTTAACACATCCATACGGTTCCACTGCTCTGACCACAGCGCTGACCCGACCCAGCGTAACGAGGGCAGATCTCTGAGTGTCTGAGTGTCTGAGCTGCCAGTGGACCTGATGACCTCAGTCTGGGGGGGGGTCTCGGGGGGCTGAGAGAAGGGCTCCTCTGTGAGGAGCGGAAGTGAAGCTCCAGTGCTGACTCAATGAAAATTCAGGCTACAGCAGTTTAGCCCTCAGATCAGAGTGAGGAGAGGAACGTTCTCTACTGTACAGAGTCCAAAAACACTGAGATCCTCAGAGAACATCAGCTCCACCTTCAATCACAGCAGAGAGAGAAGCTCATATTTAGGACCGCGATGGAGCTTCAGAGAGAGAGCGAGAGAGAGAGAGAGAGACAAAAAGAGAGCGAGAGAGAGAGAGAGAGAGAGAAAGGCCTGATAGGAACCGCTCAGCTCTACACTCACAGCTGACCAATCCCATCACCGCATGCGGCAGCCAAACCACCAATCAGCAGCCGGCTCTGCATCTCCTACATCACAGGAGAAGAAGGAGGCATGAGGAAGAAGAACACAGAGAGAGAGACTTTAAAGAAAGAGGGGGGGAGAAGAGGGGAGAGAGAGGGGGAGATAGAGGTGGTGTGTAGGAGGAGCAGCCGTGTCATCCTTTCTTGACCAGCCTCGCTGATTTAGAAGGTTCTCCAAAGCCCTGGAGAGCAGAGCTGGGCGATACAGCAAAAATATGGTATTGTGAAACTTAAATTTTCACGATACACAATATTGATTTTTTCAGACGTCTGATCAGCTGGAACAGAGAAGAAGAGCCAGCAGAGCTGCAGTTAAAATACTATCAAAAACTGAACATTTTTATTCAGCGTTTGTCACTAAATCAGTTAAACTGACTAATTTACTCTCTTTATGATGAAACATGCAGTTGGTCAGTGTCCTAAACCACTGACGATAAACTCGATATGACCAGGATGCAAACGTCAGAACTTCTCCAGGTTCTGCTGTGTTCTACTGCAGATGAAGTGGGAGACAAATAAAGCGTAACAGAAGTGATAATAAGGTTACAGTCAAACACAACCAGTAGGCCGGAACATTTGCAGACCTGGAGCTGACGGAGGAGAATCAGGAACAGCTCAACCCTCGTTAGTTTAGTTAGTTTAGTTAGTTTAGCTACACTCTTTAAAAAGGTGGTTCTTGAGTAAAGAAGAACCATTACAACTCAAAGAAGAATCTGCAAGCTTAAATGTTCTTCAGGCTGATGGAGAACCACTTTGGATGCTCCGTAATGGCCAGCAGGCCCAGCCTACGTCCCCCGAGCACAGCGTCTGTAAATACGAAGGACGAGGGGCAGCTGACGGCCGGAGTGAGTGTGAATTATTGATGGGAGAGATCGTATAACACGCTGCGGCTCAGACACAGCGCAGCCTGCTTATAAACAGTGAATAAAGCGTTAAAAGAGAACATTACTACAGAGAGCAGACGCAGCACCACGCTCAGTCACCACAGGGGTCTGAACGGGATAGAACCAGTGAGCTATTCGCAGTACAGTGACAGAGCAGCGCTGCCTACTCACACTGAAGGAGCACAGGCTGAAAGGACAACTCCACCACATTTTTTAATTTTTTCTCCATGAAGTCATTCCAAGCACAGAATCAGAGCTCTTTACAGTGGAAACAGAAACTCTGAACTCTGATGTGTTTGGTCTCCATGGCGACTTCAGTACGGACTGAATTTCGGACAGTAGCTATTCCAGAATAACAGTTCCTACCTTCATAATCTCATCATGACTCATCATAACTCCAGATAAGAAAACAGCATCACACAACCATCCTAACTTCCCAACTTCAAAAACCCCAGACAGACTCCTTTTATATCCCTATATCTCATCACCTGCGTCTGTTAATGAAGATGAAAACCGGCTACACGAAACACTGCAGTGATGAATAATGAGACAGAGTGAATGAGAGAGAAGAGAAGAGAAAGGGGAATTACACAGATTTTCCAAAATTTCCACAGTATTAAGTGGTTAAGATGTAAACAGAGTGGTTCAGAGTGGTTTGGTGTGAAACGCTCTGTTCAAGAGAAACTTACCGAGTCAGAATCCCTCCACCATGAATGGAGTTTAAGTTCTCTAAACTATCATAAAACAGTGTCTCAGTCATCAGGCAGTGAATTCATAACCATTTACTGTAGGAACTTTCTGTGAGGGAGCTTTTAGAGGTGGACGTCTGGTTCCTATCACCACCACTGTGAACAGTTCTGTTTCTCTAGAACAGAGTGTTTCACACCAAACCACTCTGAACCACTCTGATTACATCATTTATTATGCAGGAATTTTGGAAAATCAGCGAAGCGGTCCTTCAACTTGGCTATCAGCTGCAGGACTGGAGACGCTGCAGTGAAGGTCAGTGCTGGTCAGTAGTAACACTGCTCCGTCCTCCGTCCCGTCTGCATCTACAGCTCCAAACAGTGACGAATTATCTGATCACTGTCGTCAGCGCAACTCCGGAAACGGAGCCTCTTCCTCATCTTCACTCTGCACGGTTACCTTAATGTTGGTAACCACGGCGGCAGAGCGCCGCCGCCGCAGGTCCTTGACAGGAACCTGCTCGTACCATGTGACCTCTGACATCACAGCTCACAGCTCTCCTTCAGCGCTAACTCACCTCACTCATGGCTTCTGGAGAGAGACTCATTCTCTTATGGCAGAAAATTAACAGTAACTTTCTCTTGTTTTGGCCCTGTGTTGGTTTAAATAAGAACTCAGGGCAGAAAAAAATACTATATAATCAATCTTATTTATTTATTTCATAAATGTAAATATTCAAATCAAAGCCTCTTTAGTTTTATTTGTTAATGAAGCCAAACAATCCCAGTTACTGGTTCTAACAGTCAGAAAGCTAAAGCTCTCAAAAGACAAACTCTGTAAACCTTCTGAGATTTTTGCATGAAGGTCTGTTTTTGAATCCTCTGGCTGTAGTTTGTAAGTTAGTTTTTCTTTTTCATGTTTTATTCTCTGACTTAATACAATTAAAAAAAAAAGGAAAGAAAAAAAGCATCAACAAACTCACACAATCAAAAGTTTGTGCACCCTGGACCAATAGGCATGCTGTTGATTGTGTGAGTGTGAGTAAGGGGCACATCCTGTAAAGAGATCCTCAGGTTTTTACCTGACGCACACACACAGACACACACACAGACACACACAGACACACACAGACACACACACACACACACACACACACACACACACACACAGACACACACAGACACACACACACACACAGACACACACACACACACAGACACACACACACACACACACACACACACACACACACACACACACACACAGACACACACACAGACACACACACACACACACACACACACAGACACACACACACACACACACACACACACAGACACACACACACACACACACAGACACACACACACAGACACACACACAGACACACACACAGACACACAACACACACACACACACACACACACAGACACACACAGACAGACACACACAGACACAAACACACACAGACACACGCACAAACACACTCACACACACACACACACACACACAAACACACACACACACACAGACACACAAACACACACACAGACAGACACACACAGACACAAACACACTCACACACACACACACACACGCACAAACACACACACTCACACACACACACACATACACACACTCACACACACAGACACACACACTCTCACACACACAGACACAAACACACACACACACAGACACAAACACACAGACACACACAAACACACACAGACACACACACACAAACACCCTCCGAAGCGCCACGCAAAACACTGCTATGCTATCTAACCTACTGAATTTAACTCAGTTCTCAGTTTCACTACTTCATCCCTGATCAGCTGATTTAGTCTCTCAGAATATCCTACTGATTCTTTTAAACTGGGAATATTATCTTATACGGACCTTTACACCATTAAACTCCTCCACCTGCAGTTTAACCAGGCTGAAGTCGGCTTGAATCTTACTGTTCCACCTTAAATGGTGCAGCAGTTATTATACTGGTGCATCACAAATCGTCACTGTACTATTATTATTATTATTATTATTATTATTATATTATAACTAGGAGGAGTTCGGGCTACACCAGGCGATGCTCGGGGTTTCAATATCGGTATCAGTATCGTAGGAAAAGTGGTATCAGTGCATCTCTAGACGGTCACACAGGGACATAACTGAGAGGTGAAGGTCCTGTAGATGAGTACAGGTGTGCTCCTCACACCGCTCTCAGTGCCCCTGCAGGTGTGTGTGAGGGTGAGACCTGCCTTGTCCACTCTAACACACCTGAGCAGCAGCGTTTAATGACGGACTGAGCTGAGTCAGGTGCGCTGAGGAGGGACGGGTCTCACCGAGGGTCTCCACGAGCTGCAGCGAGCTAAGATGAAGTTAGCTCCTTACCGGAATTCCTCGTTCCACCTTAAACAGTGCGGCGGTTACGTTCTAGCGCCGCAGGCTGCACCGTTTAAGGTGGAACGGGACCCCGAGCGAGAGGCTGGCGAACGGCTCCTGCGGGGTTTCTGGTATTTACCTTGCGTTTCCTGGTTTCAGCAGAGCCGCTCCACACAAAGCACTGGTAGATGACCCGCAGGTTCTGCTTCCAGTTATCCACTTTGAAGACGTTCAGGTGGGAGCAGCCGGCCGGACTCATGACACCAACCACATCCGAACCGCCCTCTGTACGGATTCGGAGCCGAACCGGAGGGAGAGGGGTTATTATTATTATTCCGATTATTCTGATGATTATTCGCCGATTGTTCCGGTCTGGAGAGCCAGGGCGCCGCCGAAGACCCCTGCGCTACACATACGGCCCCGAAACTCCACCGAACCCCGCAGAACCGAGAAAAACGTGTCGGCTCGGAGCCACTTTAACGCCGTGTTTTCCCAAGTCGGATGTTTTAATGGACGGCAATGGAATTCAAGTGAAACACGGCAGCGGCGTCTCTGATTGGCCGGCGGCTCACCCTGCGCGCAGCCGGTTGGCCCGCGTACACGCCATTCCTCCTCGGTTCCCGCCTTCGCCAGCCAGAGCTACGCTCTGATTGGCTGCTCGGCCCGCTCGTCTTGGCCTCGCTGCCTGGAGCTCCCTGATTGGGCGGCTGTGTCAATCATTTCCTCCTCCGCGTTTGTTATTAAATTACAAGTACAAAGACCGCACGCGAGTTCCCGCGCGCTTAAATTAAGACACGGGGTTATTTTTACTTATTTTATTTAATGATCATTTTAAAAATAGTCGCGTTTTTCTTAAGTCCCCCCATTGATGACTTGTTTGTTGTGTGTGTTGTTGACTCGCACTGCCTACGTCATTTCCGACCTTGCTGGAACGGCTCTTATCTATGCTAAGGAGATGGTTTACAGTTATTCCAGAGTCTGCGGCCCGCTGGCCTCGCCAGCACCACACTAGAGTAAAAATCAGACACGTTAGGGCCAAACACACATTTCTCCTCTCTTCCTCACAGAAAAGAGGCTTTAATGAAGGTTAGCAGAGTCAGTGCACACAGAGGCCTAAAGCAGGGGGTCGCACTCCACCACCACCAGAGACGCATCTAAAAACCTAAACACGTCTGTGGCCAGAGAGCATTTTAATTAACATTTTTTTAAGATCCAAACTGACCATTGTCCATTCAAAATGTACCAAAACTGCAGAAGCAAACTATAGACACTTGTAGTAGACCTTGAAATATTACATTAATACTTAAACTATAAAAAAAACACATATATCCAATAAACCTCTTTAAATACCCCTAGAGGTTTTTTTTAAACCTGCCTATTTCCTTTAACTAGACACCTGGCATCTTTTCTTTCTGAGGTGTAACTGTTGTCCCATAGATTTTGATGGAGTGCACATTACCGTGCAGCGCACTGTGAAATGGGATAATATTAATAGAAAATTAAACACATTGCGCAGGCCTAATAGGATTGCCTGACATGGCCCACAGGTCTTGTGCTAAACACATGGGGCCTAAAGAGTGAGGCCTGAAAACTCAGTGAAGTCACCCTGGTTTCAACAGAGCTCCTCATTAGACTGAGTGTGGAGACCTCTAGGGGCACAGACACCTCAGAATACTAAAGAGAGAATTGCAGCCTTCTGTGTAAAGTCTGTGCAATCTGTAAATCTTCAGTATTCATCTAGCATTCTGACAGAAACAGGGAAGCACCAAGGACCGTGTAAGGGGATTCCACAAGTTCTGCAGGTGTTGTTCTACAACACAAATATGCCCAGTTTATTTACTATTTCAAACCACCAGTAAAAACCTGCACATCTTCTCAGTAAAATAGAGGGAAATCTGACAAACATACAGACTGTGTGATCAAAATCTTCTCAAAACCATCACAAAACAGTGTCTCAGTGAATCCTTATCCATTTACTGTAGTAACTTTCTGTGAGGGAGCTTTTAGAGGTGGACATCCGGTTCCTAGCACCACCACTGTGAACAGTTCTGACTCGGTAGGTTTCTCTAGAAACCAAACCACTCTGAACAACTCTGTTTACTTTACCACTTAATTATGCAGGAATTTTAAAAATTTGGTGGAATTCCCCTTTAACTGATGAACATACTTAATATTTCTATGCAATAGAACGTAGACACCCCAAGATCTGCAGCCCTCCGCATTTTGGAAACGTCAACCTACCTGAGGGTACAGAGGGTCTCGGGGGTGCATTTAGGACAGACTCCACACGTACCGGACAAACTCTGTCATCGGCCATAATCGTTTTTAGTCAGGGTTTTTTTTTTTCCCCTCAAATGAACTAATTTTCTTATTTACACTATTAAAAAGATGGTTCTTCAAGAGTTCTTTAATAAAGAAAATGGTTCTAAATAGAACCATGAACACTTAAAGAACCCTTTGCATGCTTAAGCAGTTCTCTACACTATGAAATGGTTCTTTAGATTGATGGAGAACATGTTGTATATCATCCTATATACAGGATGATTCAAAAAGATTCATCTGATTTCAAAGCACCATATTTGCACAACCGTGAGGTGCCAAGGAACCAATCACAATCCAATTGAAAGAGGGGGTCATAGAGTTTCTGACCGTCAGTGGAAGATGGCTCCCTTCAGTCTGAGAGGAGATGAGACCCCTGAGCAGAAAGCGTTCTGCGTTCTCCACTTCAATAAGAGTGAATCAGCCATAACTGTGCAGAGTGATTTTCGTGGGCAGTGAAGCTCCAACAGCTCAGAGCGTTCGGCGTTGGTTCCACAACCATGGATGATCTCCGAAATCGCACTGAAAGAGCCGTGAGTGCAGCGACACCCGACACGCTCAATCCAGTATGGGATGAGTTTGACTATGGCGTTGATGTTGTCCGTACAGCTGGAGGAGGTTCAGACTGAGACCTTGTACAATTACATAATAAACTTTATGCTCATTAAACCATTTACAGTTTACTGCATTGATCTATAATGATTTACAAGTGAAATCAATCATTTTGAAATCAGATCAATCTTTTTGAATCACCCTGTATAACTTTTTAAAAATTGTGCAAAATGGGAGAGGCCTGTACCGGAGACATTCAGGCTGACGTAGCACACAGGTGACCACGATCACCTGTGGTCGGTACCGTCGGCTGGGTGTCCAACATGAGTCACACACCCGAATTAAGTGCTTAACGTTTTTTAACTCTGTTCAGCTGGAAATATAGAATATATTAAAGTCAGTGTGAATGAAATCATAGCTGATCCTCTTCTGTGCTGCTGTTTCTGTGAGTGAAACTCTCTGTGAGGGTCTCTGAGCTTGCAGAGCTGTTCTCTCTGTGATGGGGGTTAAATCCATAGATCAATAGATGTTTTTGCTTAATATTATTTTGCCGCGCCCCCTGGTGCACAGTCACGTCATCAAAAGTCATAAAATGTTTGAGAGGTGGAGCAAAATGTCATTACATTTTGACAGAAAAACAAGAATTTAGTCTTTTACGTGATGTGAATTATGACCAGGAACACAAACTAACAAGGTGAAAACAGACCTGACAGACGACACCAGCACTGCAGCGCGAGGAGTCGGTACCATTAATAACTGGCTATAAATAAATAAAACAAAAAAGTAGAAAATATAGAATAAAATGTGACTGTTTTCATTAAAAGGCTCCAACAAAAAGGCAAAAGCTTTTGAACAAAGAAGTCCAGTCGCTTTATTGTTACGGCCATAAATGCAGCAGTGGCTTCTCCACGTCAACATCGATAAATAAAACACTGACGAAACAGGGTTGGTGTAGATGAGCGAGCTGTGAAAGAAAGAACCAAATTATCACATCAGACATGTTTCTGTTTCCTCCAATATAGTCCATAATCAATAGATTGAGATTCTTCCTGATGATGGTTTTATCACGAGAGCGGCAGGGCAGCGCTCTGTGCAGCGGCCTCAGGAGTAGGAGGACGTCTTACTGCCAACATCGTCTTCTTGCGTTCCCATACTCTGCAGAGGTCAGAGGAGAGGTCAGGTCAGGATGTGATCGTGAGAGGCAGAAAGAGAGTGTGAGAAGGTTTCCTAAAGACCGCTGGGTGAGTAACATGACGATACGTGAGTGTTACTGTGATAAATTACATCTAAGTATCCTTTCTGAGTGTATTGTGGCATCATGAGCTTTTAAAGCCTCAGGAAGTCTGTTTTCTTCCTACGCAGGTTAATCTTGGTTTCGTAAGGAATAAGACTCATGTACAAAGTACGTCTAGCAAATAACTTCACAATGTCCAATAACCAAAATTCACCTTTTTCAGTGTAAACAGGGCAGAGCTAATCTTCTTATCCACAGCACACAGGCTGAAGCTCACCTGATTCTACTTGTTTAATCAGTTGGTCTTCAAACATTTCGTCAGGTGACCTCCTGCTTTGGTGGAGTGAAAACATGCAGCCATACTGGTGGATAAGACTGGACACCCCTGATGTACATAAGCAGTCCCTTCACTAATCACAAGGCTGCTGTTTTTGTCCCGCCCACACAGCTTTAACTAGACCCTCTTTAGTCTCCATGCATTCGAGTTGGACAAACTTACAGAGGGAAAGCTAACCGCCCAGACAAAGCTAATCAAGACAAAGCTAACCACCCAGCAAAAGCTAACACCCACACAGTTATCAGACAGATCTGATAAGCAATTTCATTGTATTTCTATCCTGTTTTTTTTGTTCAATCTGTGATGAAAGTTTAATAACACTCGTTTTTATTATCATATTTTTAATATTTCACACTTTGTTCCCCAGAACTTTAAACAATTTTAAAACACTGACCGACTGCATGTTTCATTACAAAGAGGTGAAGCAGCGGCTCCAACTGCTGCACTCACAACGAACGACGTCAATCTGAATGGCCACCCAACTTAACGTCCACTCAGAGTTTATCACAAGCTCTGAGCAGCAGCTCTGACAACACATCAACATGATCACAGAGTAACAGCAGGTGGTTTTTAATGAAACTGAGATTTTTGGCACTACATTATTGGTGAACTGCCAGAGCTTCCGGCTACTTTTGAACTAACCGAATTAACCAAACAACTTTAAAACGTAAAACGTAATTTTATTTTTTACACTCCTGCAGCAGCCGAACGAGAGCTAAAGTGCTGCAAGTCCAATTCTTTCCCACCTCAGACAGCTGGGCGCTGGGAGCTCCATGTCTGAAAAGTCTGAGTCTCAGTTCTCATGAACGCAGCATTACTGCGTTTTTCACCCTTCTGTCAGAAAGTCTTTGATTCCTGATCAGTCTAAGAGGTCATCGCTGGCCTGTCTTAATGAGATGAGCAGTAATTTCTGGACGGTGAGGAATCTACGTACCTTCTGCACAAACTGGGGATTGACGGTGATCTCCTGATCCATGGCCTTTAGTTTCTCATCTAACTCTATACATTTCAGCATCTGTGAGAGAAAAGCACACAGACAGAACCAGAAAGAACCATCAGGAGGAACCACATTCCAGCAAACAGTGAGCAGACTTGAGCTTCTGGGTCACATTCGACCGTCAGTGAGTTCATTTTGGACATGGGTGTCTGTTCATCACCGTCCATGTTGGTGGATGAATATTTTAATGTAGAGCTGGGCAATATGACAATATTTATCATTATCATGATAAATTCCGCTATAATATGCTTTTCTGAGTATATCGTGGATCTTGTCAGTACTTAAACACAGTGACTAACCGCACGTTTGACTACGAAGAGATCATCATTACTCCTGTTTAACTGGATTCAGTGCAGCTCAGTGTGTGAAACGTTAAATGCAAATAACTGGATTCATAGTTTTTGACAGTATTTGTTAAATACGGCTGAAATCTGTTCCAATTTCAGAACTCAGAAATATATATAGTGAAAAGCCGGGTATTATGACAATATTTACATAAACATATATTTAGCGTTAGTATTTTTTTTACATTTATGATCCGTTAATGTTCATTTTGTTGCTGTAAATTTTGTCACTGTTAACTTTACAGTTACAGCAAATTAATATCAGCCCCACATATCAGTCATTGGTCTCCTCATCTATTAATAATCAGTATCGGCCAATACACAGATCAATCGACCCCTAATACAAAGGACTGTTTATTCTGGATGTAATAAATATTACATTACTAATTAGACATTTGTGTACTGTATTATACACAGTACGGCTCACTGATTTACTGAGCACCTAAAGCTTTTCGTGTTAAAGCTCTGAGTTTCCTCTGAGCTTGTTTACCTGAACTCCAGCGTCACTGAATCACAATGAAGTGCATTTGTAGGCGGAAAAACTTAGAACCAAAAAGAGCTGCTAGAACCTCAGAGAAGCGACTCTGTTCAGTGTCGAACGGCAGCAGCTACACAAGCTTGAATCAGCGTTCATAAGCATTCATACCTGTACACACATTACAGCACACTGCTGATACTGATTAGTGTTATTGATTAATCAGTATAGATCTGTGAACCCCTTCAAAAGTTCTTTAGTAAAGAACGTGGCTCTATATAGAACTATGAACGCTCAGAGAACCCTTTGCATGGTGAAAGTGTTCTTCAGATTGTACTGTAGATGTTACCTTCTAGAAAACGGTTCAAGCTTGTAACAATAGAAGAACGCTTTTGGGTGCTATATAGAACCCTTCACATTCATGCACACTTTCCATCAATCTGAAGAACCTTTTAATCATGCAAAGGGTTCTCTGACTGACCATGGTCCTATGTAGCACCATTTTCTTCACCAAAGAACCCTCGAGAAACCCTCTTTTTAACAATGTACTGTGGTCTCATTAGTTTGGTTCCGTGTAGAGCGACAGATTAAAGCTCTGCAGTGTCTTTATTACGAACCTCCTGGTCAATTTTGTGGAGCATCGCGGGGTTGTTGTATTTCTCAGGGTTGTCATGGAAACAGACCATGCCATCTTTCTGATTGATACTAGCGTAAATCTCTCCATCTTCAATCTGTGAGGAGGACAGGAACATTTCAGAGAGCAAAACACATACACACACACACACACACACACACACAGACAGACAGACAGACAGACAGACAGACACACAGACAGACAGACCACCTTCAGTCATTTACTCAAACAGCCCAAATCTCACTGAGCTCATTGCCTTTGTGTGGTTGTTTATGTCAAAAACAGTCATAATTCATTTTTATGTGACTCTCTTTATCCTTCAGAATGAAACAAGCTGTTTTTATTACTGTGCCTTCAGGACCAATATATGTAAATGAACTCTGTTCTGATTGGCTGTCCTGTATTGTGTTCTTATTCAAGAAGCAGTCTGGACTGAAACACTCCTCATATCTTCAGTGTGAATGGGCGGGGCTAAACTGCTATAGACTGCACCGGTGGGTATGTCTTGGTGTCTGTGACATCACAAAAAACAGTGAATTCAATGTGGGCTGTTTCTGCACTGTAGTTTATATATGGACTGGGGAGTGAACAGTCTGTACATATGACATCAAACTATTGATCTGACAAGTTTAATTCTAGTTGTACTCTGATAGTTTTGATGACTGTTGTGTTTTAAGCTGGTGTGTGTTCGATTGTAAACACTGTTATTTACCTTTTATGTCTTGTTCAATTTGGTGAAGCCAAAGGCCACATTTCCTGGAATGGCTAATGAAGTTTAATTCTATTCTATTGTATTCTAACTCCTATTTAAAAGGAAAATGTATCATAATATAAAGCTCTGAATAATATTAGCAAAGTGAAACAAGCAGACTGTGGAAAAAACAAGCCCCTCACAGGCTGACTGATCACCACTGAGTGTCAAACGAACAGCTCAGCTGTTGAGAATGTGTTTTTGATGGTGGTGAGGCTGATTTACCATGTGTAGGACGTATTTCTCAGCTTCCTGAGGGCCAGAGAGCTGCACTCGACTAGCCATGTCTTGTAAGGACAACGTCAGAAAAGTCTGAGCAGTGAACAGAAAACATACACGTGTTAAAAATAAACCTTTTTCTTATAAATGAATCTCACTGTCAAGCACCAACTTCAAACAATGCAAAATTACAGTAACTTCTCTAGTACGCACAGACTAAACATCTGCATAATTTACTGTTTAACGTTAAAGTGAAACTATGAAAACTCGTCTGGTTTTCTGTGCTCTAGATAACCTTGGTTAGCCTCTGGATGTTCTTCTTGTAGAGCGAGGACAGACACTGTTTGACGAGGCCCGTGTTGTTGTCCCGTGTGAACGTCTCGCTGTGCTTGTTGACCAGGCTGCGCAGCTCCGCCGGGTTGTTGGTGGTGTAAACCTGCGCCAGCTCATGGTAAACATTACTGAGAGGCTGCAGGAGCACAAACAGAAATTAGAATATTAATAAGGAAAGCCAGGTTTATTTATACAGCATCTTTCATACACTGCTGCCATTCAGAGTGCTTTACAAATGAGAAATACAGAGCTGTTTAAAAAGTAAAGAAGAATAGAAATTAAAAACATGAATAAAACGTGATTAAAACAATAGATTTAAAGGAGAAAATCATTACATTAAAAAATGATTTAGGATAATTAAAAATCAAATTCGAAATTAAATTAGGATAATTAATTTTTAATTTAATCAAATTAAAAAATAAAAGCCGTTACAGAGGAGAACACTCTAGAAACGCTAACAGTGTTTAAACTGAGCTGAAAGCTGCTCTAACAGGATCGTTTTCAGGCTGATTTAAAGCGTCCAGTGTCGGGCTCTTCTAATGCTCTCTGTCCAGTGGGTCCATTTAAGAGCAGCACAGTATCTAAACACTGCTTCTCCATGTTTAGTCTTCACCTTCAGACTGACTGACCAGTTCCTAATTATCTGAGAGTTCTGCTCAGCTCATATCGCTGCAGCAGATCAGATAAATACGCTGCTCCTGCACCATTAAGACATGTATAGAGCAGTAACAGCTCCTTAAAGTCTAGTCTGGAACAGACTGGTAGTGTAAGGACTTAAGAATGTGTTTCCTTCTTTTACTCCTAGTGAGACTCTGGTCTTTTTTGGGAGTCATTTAGGCGACCATTACAGTGATCAATCCTGCTAGAAATAAAGGCGTGGATGAGGTTCTCCCGCTCTGCTTTAGTCAGAACATCTCTGATCCTGTTGATGTTCTTAAGGTGATAAAAAGCTGATTTAGTAACACGACTGATAAAACTAAGATCAGAGTCCATCAGTACACCAAGGTTACGTACTTTAGTTCTTTAGATTTTAGGGCTCTTGAGTCCAGATACACAGCTAGTCTGAGCCTCTCACTGCTATTCCTGAATTAAACAATCTCTGTTTTATCTTCATTCAACTGCAGAATGTTTTGTCCCATCCAGTTACTGATGAGCTCAAGGCAATAATAACAACTAGAACAACTGAATAATAATCACAGCATTACAGTTAGAATCACTACAGGCCTCACAATACAATATCACAATGTAATATTTAGAGACCTGTGGTATGTTAAGTATTGAGATGTGACACTTTATGAAATATTACGATTTATTACTTTTGCAAATTGTTCCTCTAAAAGAAAACTTTGTTTTAGCTAATAAAGTTTATACACAGCTCATCTCACGTCTCTCTTCACTCAGAATCTGTAAATCAGCTCTCATAAATGTCTTACATTTCCACATTGAACAGATGTTTTTATTTGTGAAGTAGACAAACATTTACAACAGACTTTATCCACAAATGTTTAACAAGTGCTTTTATTCAGAGCAGTTTAGTCTGGCAGGTGAATGTAAATGTTCAGAGACTCCTGCTGTTGTGCTGTAAAAGTCTATTAGTCTACCAATGAGCTAAATACACATCTATATACTATATTAGGGATGCATATCAGAATCATATCTGTATCGACAGATTTGGCCGATATTTCAAACTGATGTGTGATGTGTGTGTGCTGAACTCTAGAAGAGCAGATTGTTTAGGTGATGCTGAGTTACTACAGTGAAAAATCTGCATTTATTCATTTTACTGCATTAGTAATGTCTCTGTAAAGCTAATCCAGGTAGATTTAGTCTACGTTTCACAAATGTTTCCGTTTCAGCTTTGGCAGATATGTAAATGAGAATTTCTGGATATTGGAATCAGCTCACAATCCCCACATCAGTGGATCCATGTGAAAAATCAGAACAACTACATGATAATATATTGATATTTGGGACACGTGTATTGATGCTGTTTTTAAATCTAAAATACTGCATTGCATCAATTTCTCCTCCTGCCTCTAATTATTACTGGAATTATTATTATAGTAGTAGTTTGTCCAATTACAGCTGACTGTGCATTTCATCCTCAATAAAACATGAATAAACGCCCCAACTCCTCTATTAGCAGTTTGTTGTTCATGCTGTTCTTAAACACGAAGTCCCACATCAGCTCTCTGTGTTTCAGCTCTTGTCCTCACCTTAATGAACCTGCCGACGATCTGTGACGTGTATTTGGGGAGCTGCTGGACTTTGCCATGAAGAATGAGGGAGACCAGAATGTACTTCTTATACGCCTCTAACATGATGTGACTGACTGCCATAGCTGGAGTGGTTATTGCCTGAGAGGAGAAAAAAAAGACAAAACGTTACCGATTAGGGCTGAAATCATGATGGATCTGCTCGTCATCTTCTGATTCAGTAGAAAAGTGACCCTAAAACAGACACCTGACGTGAAGAAGACGCTGTAAAACTCACACAGGAGGTAAAAGTCACATCGTTCTGGATGAAGTGAAGGGCGTCCTAGTAAAAATACTGTCTGGACTAAAATTTGAACACCATGGGGTCAATAATGGCTAAAATGATGAGATGACTTTGCTCAGTGTTGAAATTACAAGTACCAAAATGATTTAGAAATATTAATATATTTTTGTTTTATTCGTTTTATTCCATGTTTGCATTTTAAAGCAACAGACATTCTAAAGCTGATTTTTTTTACTCCAATTTTCCTTCCAACAAATTTCCACAATCTGAAAAGGTCGGAGCTCGATGTGAAGCGACTGATGGAGTAGATGATCTGTAGTGTGAGCGGAGAAGCGAGTCACTCTTCATCCCTCTGATCTGCTCTGAAGTGATCAGAGATCCTCCGATATTATCAAACATGTTTGATGTGTGCGACTCTAAACGTGAGTCCTGCAGTGAGACGGTCAGCGCTGTAACTGAGAGAGTGACTCAGGAAGCAGCCAATCAGAGAACTGAGAGAGGAAAGATGGAGAGACGAGCTGAACTCAGAGTTTAGAGTTAATAATCTCTCTACAGTTTCAGCTCAGCCGCCAGTTCACAGTGAAACGTTCCTCCAGCTCTGACTGATCTCCGCGTTTCAGCCTCAGACGGAGTTTCACTGCCACTGTGTGTAAAAGCACAAACAGCTCCGGCCCAGTTCAGCTCTGATTGTATCTCCTGATAACGGAGGCGATTGTTAATATTTTATTTTATATTATTTATTTTAGCTGTTTTCTTGGTTGATTTATTGTTTTTGTTGTCACTTATTTAACTTTATTTTTTAGCATTTTACTATTTTATCATTACTGTTATGGTTTTATTATTGTTCTACCTTCATCTTTTTCTTCATATTCTACTATTTATTTATTTTTATTACTGATATATCTATAGTTTTAACAGATTTTTTAATTTGTTAATCTTCTGTCTTACTAAATACTCATTTTTTATTTTGTACTGCCTTAGCAATAATCCTTGGTCATATTTTACTTACTTTGCTATACATTTACCATAATTTTTTTTTACCACTCTCTCTTTTCAGTCACTTGTCTTTTGCATAAAAGCAGAAACAGCTCTGGTCCAGTTTAGCTTTGTTTGTATCTCATGATAACCTGGGAGTTGGAGTGCTTTCAGAGCTGAAACTCGTTACGTGTGCTGTTCCACTCTTTTTGTCTGATGTGCACATCGGCACCACAGAATAACAGGAAACTCTTCTAAACACGAACGTTAAGTGCGAGACTAAATGTCTTTAGCCGTATGAACCTTTAAATCAAATACGACTGGCCTCCAGTCACGTTAGATGAGTGTGTTCTACATTTTAAACACTAACAAAATTACAATTTCTAGTCAGTACAAAAAACTCTTGACACAAACTCTATACTCTTTAAAAGAACCATAGAAAACGCTTTTGATTCCCTAAAGAACAATGGGTGGTTCTTAAAAAGACACGCACAGTTTAAGGAACCTTCCATATAATGTACACAACTAAAGGGTTCTTTGCATCATGAAATGGTTCTTCAGTGTGTTTTATATGGTTCTATATAGAACCTTTTTAAAAAGGGTTCTATGTAGCACCAAAAAGGGTTCCTCTAGTGTTACTATATTAAGCATGTTACAAAAGAAGAGCCCTTTTTGGTGCTATATAGAACCCTTTTCAAAAAAGTTCTTTATCGAACGATCTACGACACATTCTCCGTCAATCTGAAGAACGCTTTCACCATGCAAAGGATTCATCTTTTTTGAGAGTGTAGTTTAGCTTCACTGATATCACAGTCAGTAACGTTTACCTAAATTGAAATGTTTAATTTAACTTTAATTAGAGACCCTCAGAACCTGACAGAGTAACTCCGACAGTAGCGAGGTTTACAGACGGGTCAGTACCTGCTCAAAGAAATACAGTGCCCGTTCAAAGTTCTTCAGACCCGTGTAGATCATCCCGCCGTAATAGTAGTAACACAGAAAGTGCTTGGCGTCGTACGCGCCGTTCTCCTTACAGATGTCCATCATGTCCAGCTCCAGGAAAGGGACTGCAGGCTTGAAGCACTTCGCCAGCAAACACAACTGCAGATACACAAAACAAGCACCGTTTAGTTCCTCATCACTGCACAGCATACCTATACTTATACACTATAGAGACCCTTCATTTATTTAAATTCCACTCAAAACAGACACTGAGTGCACATAACTCATTATTCAGCATCTGAAAACACATATTTAACAGGAAATCCACCGAGTCCTCAGCAGCTAAATCTACTCTCAGCCGTGTGAGTCAGTGAGTCGCTCTTCACCTTTATTCCAGCTTCCATTCTTTTCAGGAGACTCACTTTCAGTTCCTCAAAGAATCTGCAGACACACCTCCAAAGTTCAGTCTTAGAAGCTGGTTGATGATTTTCTGAAGTAATCAAACACATTCAGTGGTGTTGAGGTCTGGACTCTGGGGTGGTCAGTCCATCGTTCAGCTTCTTTGTTTGATGTGTCCGTCTCCTTTTCTCAGTGAGGTTCTTCTTAAACAGCTACACATCCTTTCAGACCCACAGCGCTGAGTCGTCTTCTCACAGTGGAAGGATGAACAGAAACACCTGTGGATGTTTTCAGATCTGAAGCAGCTTGATTTTCTCCTCTCTCTCAGAGATGAAAGCTTTAAGTGCTGTTTATCTGATGGGGCAGTTTTGGGGTCGACCAGCTCTTCTAGGTGGTTGTTAGGAGCCACGTTTTCTCTGGAGCTTTTAGTCAGTTTTGGAAACTCCTGCTTATTTTCGTTTGGTTTTCTCCTTCTTTATTCAAGTGGGTTATCTTGTATCTAATCTCCTGAAAAATGAACTTTTTTGACTGGAAATTAAATGAATGAAGGACAGTCTCAAACTTTTGAATAGTGCTGTATATAAAATGCTGCTAAAGTCTTATCGTGTTGGTCTGATATACAATTTAAGTGAAATAAAGACCCTCTGATAAACACAGTCTCATTAAGCTAATGCAGTTTAGGAAAACGTAAAGCTGTGAAGAGACTAAGTCAGCAAAGTGACGACCCACCTGACACAGGTCTGCATGAATTGAGGTAAGTTGGTTTGTGTTCATCTGCATCTTCTCTATTGCCTGTTTAAGTATGCTTATCCCCCGTAAGGGCTGTGAAGGTAAAGAACATCAGACAGGTTAGATTTCAGTCTGCTCAGCTTCCAACTCTGTAGAGTCTGATTTGCAGCTGTTTATCTCGTCCTGCACCCTTCATTTCACACAGAGCAATCACTACACTCAGCCCGCGCTCCTCTACCCGTTACTCATAAACACACAGCCGTACGCAAACGTCTGAACACCCGGGGCAGTTTACATGTCGCTGATTTTCTAAGTGAAAATAAGTTAACACATCCTCTCTGGAGACACACAGACACTGTTCTACAAATACTCCTGCACAATTTCTATTATTTTTACATACTGGAAACATTATAGGTGCCATAACTTTTGCAAATTCTGTGTCTAATTCAGTAAACAAACAGTAAGTAATTGTTTATTATTTTTTATATGTGTAGAGGTGTGTCTCTGTAGAGGATGTGTAACTTCTTAACACTCAGAAACTCAACAACATGTAAACTGACCAGAGGCGCACAAACTTTTGCAAAAGACTGTCTCTCTAATTGGTTATTACAGATTACTGTAATAGTTCACAAATATAAAGAAAGAAAAAATGTATTTATTCATTTTATTTATTTACTTTTATAGCTGGACCACAGCAGATTCCATCTACACTGTGATAAAATTTCATAATGAAATGAATCAGAATGACTGTTGGAGCTGGATTAGTTTCAGAGGAGGTCCAGTAATGTAATCTGTCATCTGTGTGTGGTTCGATTGGCTGAATCGTACAGGATGAAGGATCTTCTCCAAATTAGTCCAAATAGCCCAGACCCTAACATCATCGCGTGGATGTTTATGTCAGCGTTATGCGACAGGAGCCACAATTCTGGATGAGGGAGGAGTGTGGGGTGATGCTTGTTATCAACAGCAATTTCAAATGATTAAGCATAATCACGCAGCGTACAGGAGGAAACTGTGGTGGAGCTCAGGAGTCTTGAATTTGAGGACTGAGGATTTTGGTCAATTCGAGCTCCGTTTCATCAGTATTTCTATTAGACTGTTTGTTATCACGTCACTGTGATGTGGATCTGAGCAGCACTGCTGATACTGAGGGAGTTCAGCCAATTATAGAAGGTAATTCACTCTGGAATTATTACTCAGCAGACTGTAAAAACTACAGGCGCTGCAGATTCATACTGGATTAAAACCACGGATCTTGTTTGTGATCACTCAGATTGCAGCACCTCCCCAGATTAAACTAATCCAGCTCCGACAGGCTTTAGCACGTTTTTAAAGTGACAGTTCTGGAGGTTTTGTTCAGACGGCAATGTTATGGTAACGTGGCTAACTGTGATGTGCTAACTGGAAACATGGGCTTTTGTTCGTCAAACACTGGATGAAGAACTCTCACCTGCTTCCTCTCCACTAGAGCATTGGTCAGCTGGTGGCAGAGGCCAGCAACTAAAAGATAAACAAACAGAGAAACTAAGAATGCAGGAAATCATCATCTACTATACAGAGCAGTTTAGGACACGACGAGCGAGAGATGAGACACAGGACAGTTTATTTCTGGACGTGTCATCTAAACCTACATCTAACAAAATCTACATTAAAGTGGATCAGTTATTACTGGGAAAATGGGATCAGTAATCATTTTAAAGATGAATTCCTGCATAATTAAAGGGCTAAGATGTAAAAGTCAGAGTGGTTTGGTGTGAAACACTCCCTTCCAGAAGGTTTTGGTCTAAAACGTATTTTTATGGGCAAACTTATTATTTCAGGTTTTTCACTATTTTCCCATCATCAACATTCCATATAAACTCAGAAGACTCGTGTAGGTTCACTGGTGGTTCTAGATAGTAAATAAAATGTCTATATTGGTGTTGTAGTCATGGCGACCCCTGGTTCCTATCACCACCATTGTAAGAGATCTGAACCATTTCACACCAAACCACTCTGAATCACTCTGATTACATCTCACACACTGATTTATGGGAGAAATTTTCATAATCAGTGGGATTCCCCTTTAAGGGTACATTAAGGGTGTATGAATTATGTGTATTGGTGGTAATTAATTGGCAGAGATGTTGTGAGTTTCTGCTGTATGTGTGACGACTGAGAACTGAGAGTTACATCAGTCAGTCAAGCACTGTTTAAATTTCAGAGTCTGTTTATCTTCCTATTAATATCACTTATTAATAACTTAATCTTAGCCCTTTAAAATCAGCGCTGTACTGTAGACATCTTAATACTCACAAGTGTCTGTTGCGTATCGAATGTGCTCTCCGTTGCAGGTGCTGATGAAGAGCTGGACTTGGGAAAACAGCGTCTCAAAGTCAGGGATGTTTGGCATGGAAAACTTGACGAATCTAGAACACAGTATGAAAGAATCAGTCTGCAAACACAGAACATAACAGCATTTCCCACCGAGAAGTTAGAGCTTTAAAGATACTTCAGGACTGAGAGCAGCGCTGGATGATATGAGGACCTTATTGTTATCACGATGATCACCAATTACAGAGAACCTGAGTAAATGTTTATTACAAAGTGAGCTTAATTATTCCTGTTTAACTGATTGATGTTTGTAAAACACTGACTAAAATCACTGTAGTTTTTGGTTTATTTATTATTACTGTTATTACTATAATAACATTAATATGTGGCACTGCAGGTTCTATTTTGCCTTTTCCAACTTATTAAACCTCAGACAAACCAAATATTGTGATGCATGTCATGAATATTGTGAAAATCTCTTAAAGTATTATGATATGATATTTCTACTGTATCGCCCACCCTCAATGTGTACGCTCCACTTTATGACACTGTAGATTAGCTTGGGGAAACATTTCAGCAGATCTGCTCTAATGTTAGCAATTCATAAACACCAGCCACACACATCACTATAGAGATGGGTTTAATGCAGAAACCACTACATAAAAACACTGTAACCCAAACACTGTAACTGAGATCCTGGAAGAGACACTCACAGCACAGCCAGCACGCCGAGGGAGTGCTCCTGGATGTCCAGGGCCCCCAGGACGGTGTCCAGGTGGGAGAGGTTCTTGGCCAGCAGCTCTCCGCTCTTGTTGATCAGCTCGCACAGCTGAGTCATCTGACCTGAGAGGACCGGAGCCGGACACAGCGAGGAGACACAAAAACAGGAGAAGGTCATATATGGGGGAAAGTTACTCAGGAAGAATGTGGCTGCAGGCGAGAAAACACAGGACCAGTGGAACAGGACACTCTGGAGCAGCTGCACCATCACCTGTATTGATTAACAGCACAGAAACTGAATTTACTGACCGTTATAAATACCTGAAGACAATTAGTAAAGATAAGCTGACTTTAAAGATATAAAATATAAAATATAAAAATATAAAATATAACTTTATTCTGATATAAACTGTAAAAAAGGGCAGCAGAGATTGTGTTTTTTATAAGAAAGCTGAACATGTTCAGTGTGGACAGGAAGATCATGAGCCTCTTCTAAAAGTCATTTACTGAATCCATTTAAACTTTTTAACTGACTTAACTTCAGTGTTCAGAATAGAAATCGTCTCAATAACATTATTAAAGTGGCAAACAAAATAATCAGCGACGTCTAAACTCCCTGAAATTACATTCATCTGTCAAGTTACTCAGAAAGTGAGACGGATTCTGAGTTTTCCACTTCATTTGGAGTTTCAGCTTCTTCTTCATCTGGATGCAGATTTTGGCTCTCGATGGTCAAAAGTAACCGATGGAAGAACCTTTCATATCGAAGGGTATACAACTATTAACTTTGTGATATGTATTTTTTTATATTATGGGATTTAATACACTGTATTTTTGTTGACGTTGCTGATGTTGTGTTTTTATCTTTGTGTGTTATATGTTTAGTTTACCTGGCTGTAAAACTAATTTCCCCTCTGGGACAATAAAAGGACCTGAAGTGAACTGCACATGATCCTAAGGTCTCCATGTCCAGTGCCCAGCGTGGGCTAAAGGTGTATAAAGCCCCCCGGCATTGGGCTGTGGAGCAGTGGAACTGTGTTCTCTGGAGTGATGGAGCTCCATCCAATACCTTTGGGATGAGTTGGAGTGACTCAGAACTGACCATCCAACATCAGTACCTGACCTCACTAATGCTCAATCAAATCAGCACAGCAATGTTCAACATCTAATGTAAAGCCTTCCCAGAAGAGTAGAGGCTGTTACTGCAGCCAGACTCACTATTAACACCTTCATTTCAGATGAAACTCATTAGTCGATCAGCCTTATTCACTTTATGAAATCTAAGAAAAATTAATCTAAACTTACTGAAACTGCATATCTGCTATTTATCTCCTTCATCGTTCTAGCTTAGTGTAATTTCTCTGTAAATGGCTGCTTGTTGTTTGTACTGTCCGCATAACATTTTGCAACAGAGGCTGTATTTTGTCCCTGTGTGTGCTCTGTTTTAGGGCTGGGCAGAACTGCTAACATTCAGTACTGTGATATTTTACAAATGTATCTTACTGCTGCTAAACGATACTTAAGTTTGCATTAATGAAGTTAATAAATTAATAAACTTCCTTTAGGTTTTTGGTCCATCTGTGTTTTCTCACTACAACACCCAGCATGCACTGCACAAACACATTACACAACCATTGCGATCAAGAAATCCTGACTGCTAGTATAGCCACTGACGCAGAGGCTAATAAATACAGACGTGATCCTCGGCTTCTCCCGCCCTCAGTGTGTTCACCTAAAGGAAGATAACAAGCTCCTCCCACCTTCAAGACGCATCATCAGAAGGGAGTTTTGGTCTTTAAAACCAGAGACACTGTAGGACGGGGTGTCCAACCTTATCCGCAAAGGGCCGCTGTGGTTGTAGGTTTTAATTCCAACAAAGCAGGACTACCTGTGATCAGCTGTTTGAAGGCTGAACCACTGATTAAACACGGAGAGTCAGGTGAGCTTCTGCTCGTTGGGAATGAAAACTCGCAGCCACACCGGCCCCTTGTGGATAAGACTGGACACCCCTGCTGTAGGAGAACAGTAAGCATGTTTACACATGGAGGTAGTGATGGTTGCGTTTTCATTTTTTGGCCGGCGCGTCTCTTTAAAAAGCACAGCTTACACAGTAAAGGATCTTCACACAGTGCTGAACATCACTGCTGTCAGAACAAAACCTGCTATTAAAGGTGTTCTGCAGAAAAAACGAATTGTGTTGTCCCATCACAGCGAACTGACTCCAATATCAGACACAGTCTGTTCACGAACACATTACCCTCTGCTGAAATAACAGGTCAGTCGTGGTCGTCAGGCTTACTGTGAGTAACTTCACCAAACGCCGTTTATTCACCATTTAAACACAGAGCAGGAATTAAACCACAGAGCGGTTAGTTCAGTGTTTTGCTGGTCAGCTGTGCCCGTTGGACTGAAGGCTCTGTCTCTATAAGCTATGAGAATCTGCGTGTTGTTTGTGATCGGCTGCTTCACAGCTCTTTGGAACGACTTCATTCATTTTAACTGTTTTACTGTTATCATTTTATACTGTTCATATATGGTTTATTGATTGTTCTACTTTATTTGAAACACTGCTGCTTTATATATCCACCCCTATAAAGCTCATTATCGGTCAAAGGTATCACATAAACTTCAAAATCCATAAGATAATATACATATATAGCTGATATACTGCCTCCAATTCCACCAATTTTTCAAAATTCCACCATAATTCAGTGTGTGAGGTGTAATGGTTCAGATGTCTTTACAGTGGTGGTGATAGGAACCAGGGGTCGCCATGACTACAACACAAATATAGCCATTTTATTTACTATCCAGAACCACCAGTGAACCTACACGAGTCTTCTGAGTTTATATGGAATGTTGATGATGGAAAATAGAGGAAAATCTGAAATAATAAGTTTTCTTTGGGGACTATTTTGCCTCACAGCGCCCTGCATGTATCCCTCCACCATGAATGGAGTTTATGTTCTCTAAACTATCATAAAACAGTGTCTCAGTCATCAGGCAGTGAATTCATAACCATTTCATGTATTCATGAATTCATAACCATTTCATTCCACTCTGAACCACTCTGTTTACATCTCAACCATTTAATAAGAGAGAAATGTTAGAAAATCGGTGGAGTTGCCCGTTGCTGATGAAGTGAAGCTCCTCGGGATGAATAAGGCCTGTTTTAGTGCTAAAATCCCTCCCGAAGGCCTGCAAGGTAACGAACCGGATCTAAAGAGCCGCTTCTTAAACGGACAGACGTTCTTCGAATTAGCAAAACACAGTGACCGGACAAGCTAACGGAGGCTAAGTTAGCCGTTAGCGTTAGCCCAGCTCTGTTTACGGGCTCCCGCAGACTCGGCGCGGTTAGACGGACAGATCCGAGGCGGGTAAAGGCGGTTAAAAGCGGTGTCTGGTGGAGGAAGTTAAATATAAACCAAATGCTCCGCGATATTATCTACAGAGCTACCGCCGAGCTGAGTCTGGCCTCTCGCTCAAATGTTCCGTTCCACCTTAAATGGTGCGGCAGCTACGTTCTGGCGCCCGAGGCACCAGCGTGTAACTGCCGCATCACTTAAGGTGGAACGGAAAATTCCAAAATAAGCCTCGTCAGCCACCGCTAGCAGCCGTAACCCTGAGCTCCCGGGTCGGTACCTTGAGCAGACAGCTGCCGCACATTATTCACGAACTGCTCCAGCGCCGAAGCCATGACTCCGCAGCCGCTTCAGAGCCGTTTTTCATTCAAATCCGAGACGCAGCCGCCGCAGAGCCGAGCCGAGCTGAACTGAACTGAAGGCCTCGGCCGCCACAGACAGCAACGCAACTATCGCGAGAGTTCAGACGCGACGACAAGTTTCCCATCTCGCGAGATCTGCGGTAAGCTCGTGAGGCGAGTTCACAGGAGGTTTGTTAGGTTCATTACTGACCCTTCAGTTTTGACCCTGAATTTAACCTTCTCTTGGTTAATTTATTGTTTGGCCTCAGTCATTATAAAAATAACAAAACTAAAGAATATCATATTCATTTGGGCGAAATTTCATATTCCTGAATGTAAATGTATTAATTAAAAATTTAAACAGAAACTAAACAACATATAACTTCAGTCACCTCTTTAAAACAGAAGAGCTGTTAAAACAATGAGCCCCTTATTCAGTATGAATTTTGTAAAATCATAAGTTCTACCCCTTCTTTTGTTTAAACTGTTAAAATGCTGTATGTCTGTGTAATCCCTATGCTGACATCACTCAGCTGTGCTGTTTATGTTGCAGTGCTCTTGAAATAAAGAGCTTTTTTAATAAACAAACATTTTCCGGTTTATCAGTCAGATATAAAGATAATAATAAATAATAATAATAATAATAATAATAATAATAACAATAATTCCCATTTTACAGCGCTACTTATCTATTTCAGCTTCTTTAAATCTTACAGGAAGTACGAATCAAACACTTCCCAGCCAAAGAGCGTTTCACCAAAGATGTTTTACTCAGGAAGATGGTCCACTGTCTGCGGCCTGCAGGGGAACCAGAGCGCTGGTAAAGCAGCTAAACAAATAACCTCTGTAATGAAATAAGTTCAAGTACCAGTAAACTGTTTTTGTTGGCTTACATATAAAATATGCTGTTAATCATCAGAGCATTTTATCAGAGACACCGATAAGCTTTGTTAAACTAATTTCTTTCAGTTTTTTTTAATCTTCAGAGAAGGCCTAATGATTTCTGTTAAATAAAAACGTACAAAAATATTTCTAATCTGTAAGTATTGTAGTAATCGACAACTGTCCAATCAGGACTGCTCTCTCCAAATAGATACATCCGAGCTGCTCTTCCTTTGGTTAAGACTTGGAGCTGGAATAAAGGAATTACACATTAGATTAACTACCAACATAATTAGGAAGAGACAGAATATGTGAGATATATACAATAAATGCTGAAGGAATATAGATAATCTCCTATAATCATTTTTAATCTTATTAACCCTGTGGGGTTGACGAACTCACCCCTGCATCAAATTCTCTGTTTCTATATCTGTGTCTGTTTCTTTGTGATGATCCAGCTCAGAAATCCAGTTCAGACACTTCCTGAATCTGTAGAGTCGCCCTTTCCATTCCATTTTATCACGAGATCATACGAGACTCACATCTGGAGTTATGAGCCTATGAAGAGGGGCTGAGATACACGTCATCTGCCTCTCACCATGTGGAACTGGTGGATTTGTGTGTTTGTCTACATTCTGTGTGAAACTGACCAATGGACACTCAGTAAATCACTAAGCACTGACCATCATGCCGGAAACCCTTCATTCTTCATTCAGTCCACATCGGAGACTCTGCTGCAGCGGTTTTGGAAAGTAGTGATGAAGATAACGGAGCATTTAGATATGAAACATATAAGGATCATGATATATGAAGAGCCTTTAAAGGAGAGTTTAAGAAGAGATGAACACATCGAGAGCAGAGCCTCAGAGCCCAGAGTGGTAATATAGAATATATATTACACTGAGGAATAAAAGTTCTTTGGCCTCCATGTCTCTGAGAGGTGTGTGGTGTGGTCTTTAGGAGGAAGCTGTGATGAAATAAGAACTCATTTATTATCTCCATTCTGTCCAACCAGACATGGCGGCACTCTGATGGCTCAGGAGCTGAGCTGAGTATCTTTATCAGTGTATAACTGGGTGAAAGGTGACCAATCAGGAGCCTTTAAGGCCTTCAGCCTGACTGAGAGTGACTCCCGCTGACGTCAGTAAGAGGAACTCTGTCTCTGTAGTTTTTGCCTTATACCATATCACAAAAATAACAAACAGGGGTTTTGTATGTCGTCTGTTTCTACAGTTTATATCCATCATGCTGTGGTAAATTAGCCAACAGTCCAGACAGGACAACAGAACATATACACTCCTTTCAGAACAAAACCTGCATCTCCATTATTGCTGTTTTTTAGTTTTTGACTTAACTTGAAAATGCCTGTTGCTCTTTACACTGTGTGTAAATTTCATATTGAATGGAAACGGCCCAAAATGACTTGGGAAAATGTCTGATTACACTGACTTACATGAAAAGTAAAGTATGTGTTTTTTCTCCTGTAAAGCTGCCATTTTGGAGACATGAGGTTTCGTTCTGACAGCAGTGACATATGAATGGGTGTTATATATACACACTTTGTGCACATTGTTTGTATACATTATTATTATTATTATTATTATTATTATTGTTGTTGTTTTGTTTTGTTGTTATGATTCTTCTTTTCTTTTCTTTTTTTTTCTTTTATATTACATTATATTATTGGCAGTAGCGCCTCTCTTGTGTCTCTTTGACAGGTTTGTTTCCGGAGGTGAGTGGCGCATCTCCTCCTTCACAGATTATCTTGACCCGAACAGCGGCGCTCGGTAGTTCGGAGCTGCGGCGGAGACTCCGAGGCGGAATCTCGGCTCTCTGATTAGATCAGACAAAGCGCCGCTGCAGAGACGGCAAGGCTGCCGAATTAGCACCGCTGCAGCGCTGTAAACAGGTAAAGATACGGGCTTCCTGAGTTGGGGGGAGGGGAGTCGGGGGAGGGGGGCAGCGGGCAGAGAGGTCAGCGTTCAGAATCAGCTCTGACCAGCATGCAGCCAACAGACGGCACTGAAACTTCAGGCATGAGGCTGCAGCAGTAGCGGTGCGGCAGAATGAGGCCTCAGCAGGTCTGAGAGGCTCAGTGAGAAGCGGCTGTTGAGGAACTGCAGGTTCGGATCTGTGCCTGTTCGGAGGGGCTCGTTTTCGCTTCAGCAGTGCGCTATGCCGCTGCAGCTGGCTCGGGCCGCGCGCCGCATCTGCAGCTCCGCCTCTGTCCGCAGTCTGAGCATCCACACCAGCAGGAGGCTCAGAGTGCTGGTGGACATGGACGGGGTCATCGCCGACTTCGAGGGGGGGTTTCTGAAGAAGTACAGGCAGAGGTACCCGCACGAGCCCTACATCAGCCTGGAGGAGCGCAGGGGATTCTGGGTGTCCACGCAGTACGGAGAGCTGAGGAGCGACCTTTGCGTGAGTTTACAGCAGTTTAGCTCCGCCCATTCAGCCTACAGCAGTTTAGCTCCACCCATTCAGCCCACAGCAGTTTAGCTCCGCCCATTCAGTCTACAGCAGTTTAGCTCCGCCCATTCAGCCTACAGGAGTTTAGCTCCACCCATTCAGCCCACAGCAGTTTAGCTCCACCCATTCAGCCTACAGCAGTTTAGGTCCACCCATTCAGCCTACAGCAGTTTAGCTCCGCCCATTCAGCTACAGCAGTTTAGCTCCACCCATTCAGTCTACAGCAGTTTAGCTCCGCCCATTCAGCCTACAGCAGTTTAGCTCCACCCATTCAGCCTACAGCCGTTTAGCTCTGAGCTGTGTGTGTATTCCTTTATTATTTATGTGACTCTATAATCTTATATATACAATATTTATATGATTATATTTACGTTATTTATATGTAAGTGAATCTAATGCGCTGATTGGCTGTCGGAACTGAGTGATGTAAACAGACTGTGTGTCCTGCAGGAGAAAGCCATCAGCATCTGGGAGTCCAAAAACTTCTTCATAGAGCTGGATCCACTTCCAGGAGGGGTGGAAGCTGTGAAGGAAATGTCCAGGATGGAGAAGTAAGTACAGCAGAGACAGACTTCATCAGTTAATCAGGGTAAAGCTGGTTAAAGCGGGTTAAAGCAGGTTAAAGCTGGTTAAAGTCAGTAAAAGCGAGTTAAAGCCAGTTAAAGCTGGTTAAAGCCAGTTAAAGCCGGTTAAAGTCAGTTAAAGTGAGTTAAAGCTGGTTATAGCTGGTTAAAGTGGGTTAAAGCTGGTTAAAGCGGGTTAAAGCTAGTTAAAGTCAGTTAAAGCAGATTAAAATGGGTTAAAGCTGGTTATAGCTGGGTAAAGTCAGTTAAAGCTGGTTAAAGCAGGTTATAGCTGGTTAAAGCCGGTTAAAGTCAGTTAAAGCTGGTTAAAGTCAGTTAAAACGGGTTAAAGCCAGTTAAAGCTGGTTAAAGTCAGTAAAAGCGGGTTAAAGCTGGTTAAAGCGGGTTAAAGCTGGTTAAAGTCAGTTAAAGCTGGTTAAAGTCAGTTAAAACGGGTTAAAGCTGGTTAAAGTCAGTTAAAGCGGGTTAAAGCTGGTTAAAGCGGGTTAAAGCTGGTTAAAGTCAGTTAAAACGGGTTAAAGCTGGTTAAAGTCAGTTAAAGCGGGTTAAAGCTGGTTAAAGCGGGTTAAAGCAGGTTAAAGTCAGTTAAAGCCGGTTAAAGCTGGTTAAAGTCAGTTAAAGCGGGTTAAAGCAGGTTAAAGCTGGTTAAAGCCGGTTAAAGCAGGTTAAAACCGGTTAAAGCAGGTTAAAGCCGGTTAAAGCAGGTTAAAGCAGGTTAAAGCCGGTTAAAGCAGGTTAAAGCCGTGACGCTGTCCAGATAAATATGGAGAGTTTGATATGTAAAGTTTAGTATTAGTTGAGCTCGTCTCTGAGGAGGATGAGGCTCAGACTGATCTACTCTTTAAAGGAGCCTCAGGATTCACTGAGCGAGCTGCTCATCACTGACCGCATACGGACGTTTCATCTACTACAGAACTGATGCAAATGAGCAAAGACACTTTTTAATGAACATAAATAAATATGTGACCAGTGCATTTCACTCATATGCTTTTTGTATGGAAGCCCAGATTGTATGGAATAATTTGACTTGGAATGTCAAAATAACTTAAGCGTAAGACTTTGACTTTGTGTGCTGAAATAACGACTGATTTCCTAAAGATTTTGACTGTGAGTCAAAATAGGACTCATAATTTTAACTTACTGTCTCGGAATAATTCGTTATTACTGCCTGAGAAAGTGCTGAGGAAAGTCGCTCATTTGAGGAAGAAAAGACAGTATTTAATCACCATAATTCACAATTTCAGGTCAGAATTTGATCCATTGCTGCCAGAAATGGAGGAAAAACCAGCAGGTGATTCGTATTTCCAGCTGGACCAGCTGAGCTTCTCACCTGCTGTCTCTGAGTGACAGCCGCGTTAGCCGTTTTAGCTGTGTTAGTTGCGTTAGCCGTTTTAGCTGTGTTAGCCGTTTTAGGCTGCGCATTCAGGCTGCGTTCAGACAGTGTTCAGGCTGCGTTCAGGCTGCATTCAGACAGTGTTCAGGCTGCGTTCAGACAGTGTTCAGGCTGCGTTCAGGCTGCGTTCAGACAGTGTTCAGGCTGCGTTCAGGCTGCATTCAGACAGTGTTCAGGCTGCGTCCAGGCTGCATTCAGACAGTGTTCAGGCTGCGTTCAGGCTGCATTCAGGCTGCGTTCAGACAGTGTTCAGGCTGCGTTCAGGCTGCATTCAGACAGTGTTCAGGCTGCGTTCAGGCTGCATTCAGACAGTGTTCAGGCTGCGTTCAGACAGTGTTCAGGCTGCGTTCAGACAGTGTTCAGGCTGCATTCAGGCTGCGTTCAGACAGTGTTCAGGCTGCGTTCAGACAGTGTTCAGGCTGCGTTCAGGCTGCGTTCAGACAGTGTTCAGGCTGCGTTCAGGCTGCATTCAGACAGTGTTCAGACAGCGTTCAGGCTGCGTTCAGACAGTGTTCAGGCTGCGTTCAGACAGTGTTCAGGCTGCGTTCAGACAGTGTTCAGACAGTGTTCAGGCTGCGTTCAGACAGTGTTCAGGCTGCGTTCAGACAGTGTTCAGGCTGCGTTCAGACAGTGTTCAGGCTGCGTTCAGGCTGGGTTCAGACAGTGTTCAGGCTGCGTTCAGACAGTGTTCAGGCTGCGTTCAGGCTGCGTTCAGGCTGCGTTCAGGCTGCGTTCAGACAGTGTTCAGGCTGCGTTCAGACAGTGTTCAGGCTGCGTTCAGGCTGCATTCAGGCTGCGTTCAGACAGTGTTCAGGCTGCGTTCAGACAGTGTTCAGGCTGCGTTCAGACAGTGTTCAGGCTGCGTTCAGGCTGCGTTCAGACAGTGTTCAGGCTGTGTTCAGACAGTGTTCAGGCTGCGTTCAGGCTGCGTTCAGACAGTGTTCAGGCTGCGTTCAGACAGTGTTCAGGCTGCGTTCAGGCTGCGTTCAGACAGTGTTCAGGCTGCGTTCAGGCTGCGTTCAGACAGTGTTCAGGCTGCGTTCAGACAGTGTTCAGGCTGCGTTCAGGCTGCATTCAGACAGTGTTCAGGCTGCGTTCAGACAGTGTTCAGGCTGCGTTCAGACAGTGTTCAGGCTGCGTTCAGGCTGGGTTCAGACAGTGTTCAGGCTGCGTTCAGACAGTGTTCAGGCTGCGTTCAGACAGTGTTCAGGCTGCGTTCAGGCTGCATTCAGACAGTGTTCAGGCTGCGTTCAGGCTGCATTCAGACAGTGTTCAGGCTGCGTTCAGACAGTGTTCAGGCTGCGTTCAGACAGTGTTCAGGCTGCGTTCAGACAGTGTTCAGACAGTGTTCAGGCTGGGTTCAGACAGTGTTCAGGCTGCGTTCAGACAGTGTTTAGGCTGCGTTCAGACAGTGTTTAGGCTGCGTTCAGACAGTGTTCAGACTGCGTTCAGACAGTGTTCAGGCTGCGTTCAGACAGTGTTCAGACTGCGTTCAGACAGTGTTCAGACTGCGTTCAGACAGTGTTCAGGCTGGGTTCAGACAGTGTTCAGGCTGGGTTCAGACAGTGTTCAGGCTGCATTCAGACAGTGTTCAGGCTGCGTTCAGGCTGCATTCAGACAGTGTTCAGGCTGCATTCAGACAGTGTTCAGGCTGCGTTCAGACAGTGTTCAGGCTGCATTCAGACAGTGTTCAGGCTGCGTTCAGGCTGCATTCAGGCTGCGTTCAGACAGTGTTCAGGCTGCGTTCAGACAGTGTTCAGGCTGGGTTCAGACAGTGTTCAGGCTGGGTTCAGACAGTGTTCAGGCTGCGTTCAGACAGTGTTCAGGCTGCGTTCAGACAGTGTTCAGGCTGAGTAACAGATGCTGTTTCTTCTTCCCGCAGTACAGACGTCTTTATCTGCACCAGCCCCATCAAACACTACACGTACTGTCCGTACGAGAAGGTGAGTCAGAGTCTGCTCAGTTTTTAAAGTTCTTTAGTAAAGAAAATGGTTCTATATCGAACCATCAACACTCAAAGAACCCTTTGCATGACTAACAGGTTTTTTGAATCACTAAATAGTTCTTCAGATTGCTGGAGAATGTGTTGTATATGGTTCTATATAGAACTATTTGAAAATGGTTCTACATAGCATCAAAAAGGGTTCTACTATTGTTACAAGATTGACATCATGCACACTTAAAAATGATGGTTCTTTAAGGGCTCTTTAGTAAAGAAAATGGTTCTACATAGACACTGAAAGAAGCTTTTGCATGATTAAAGGGTTCTTTGCATCCTGAAAGGGTTCTTCAGATTGATGGAAAATGTGCTGTAAGGGTTCTTCTATTGTTACGATGTCAGGCTTGTATTAATAGAAGAACCCTTTTTGGTGTTCTATAGACCCCTTTTCAAAAAAGTTATATATAGAACCATATACATCTGAAGAACCCTTTAATCCTGCAGAGAGTTGTTTGAGTGTTCATGGTTCTATATAGAACCATTTTCTTTACTAAAGAACCCTTGAAGAACCGTCTATGTCTAAGAGCGTAGTGCATGAAAGCTGCTGCTCCGCTGTGACCGTGTCTGTGTCCGCAGTTCGCCTGGGTGGAGAAGCACCTGGGCCCGGATTTCCTGGAGCAGATCATTCTGACCCGAGACAAGACGGTAGTGACCGGGGATGTCCTCATCGACGACAAGCCCAACATCCACGGTGACTAAGATTCCATCCTGGTCTGCAGAACCGCACTTATTACTCAGAATTCTTACCATAACATCTCCTCCTCCAGGCGCAGAACCCAACCCGGCCTGGGAACATGTTCTCTTCACCGCCTGCCACAACAAGCACCTCCCGGCCAATCCGGCGCAGCGACGGCTCCTCTCCTGGGAGGACGACTGGAGGGGCCTCCTGCAGAGCAAACGCCAGCGGGACCTTTGGGACCGTTAGGAGGAGCGGTGGGCTGGCGGTCAGAGTAGATGGGGGGCGTGACGGGGGTGACGCAGCCTCATTCACCTCCGTCACCTTCCCTTCATAACACACTGTCTCACCCAGCGATCACAGCTATTGATCCTCACTGTCAGGAGTTCAGAGCTGTGGTCGAGTTCTTGGTTCGGTCAGTAAGTTCTGAGTTTACATCGAGCAGAAACTGCCTCACATTTTATTTTACAGGAACGCTCCAGTGCTCCTCAGCAGGACCTCCGTCTGCCGTGTCTTTACCGGACAGTCCAGAAGTAATAAAGAGCAGAGAACCCGCATGCTCACAGTTGGGTCAGTGGACAGTGGCTGAACTCTGTCTGGGGTGGTCTTTGTACTAGGCAAAGCCCCTGTGATACAAGGAAAATATGGGATATGGGCCCTTTAAATAATCCTAACACGCCCTTACAGCTCCCTCAACATGAGAAATGTTAGACATATAGATCAGATTTAAGATGAGTTCACCTGCTGTGATGGTACTGTTCACAGCCCAGAGCCTCAACTCATCTAAAAATCTACATCCATCTATACATGCTTTTTACCCAGAATTCTCAGAATCACTAACTCCGCCTCGAATCGTCAGTCAACAGTTTGGAATGCGCTGGACGCAAAAGTTAGAAAAGAGGACGAACAAAATCCGAAAAATCACTTTTAGCGTCCGAGATATGATCAGTTATACAAGCGCTCGGATTCGTTTATAAACACGTTAATAAATACCTTAATAAAGCTGCTCTTATTATCCGACACTGGACCAACACAGCGTCTCTAAACCTCAACCACCGCACTGACCCGGGACCAGATCTCGTGGCTTGTGATGTCATAAACACGGGAGGGGTCGGATCTTAGCTCAGTGCTGTTGTGCTTTGTGAATTAAAGCTCTGGTTACTTTCGCTTTTCCTAAAGCTTTCTGGTATCCATGGCGATCAGGCGGAGCCTGTGGAAACTCCGCCCACACACTGCCGTGTTGGTAACATTATTTATATCTTTATTTATAAATGCATTTTAATGAATGTTTCCACAGAAAATATTTACTGACTGAATTCAGCATCTGCCCATCGACCTCTATCACACACGAGTGAAGTCGGGTTTCTGCTCTTTAATAAGCTCAGAGGGTCAGTCTGTAAAACACACCGTCTGACCAGCAGACGGAGATCAGGGTGAGGAAGGCTGAGGGTTCCTTTAATATCATGCATGTCAAAGGGAACACAAACTGCATGGTAGCTTCACTTCACACCTTTTAACCTTTAACCTTTAAGCGCACAGATATTCTACACACTGACTCTGAGTAAAGTGGACAGACAGATTACAGCACTGAGAATGAGAGTCGTCCGAGGTTCACTTCATTCCTCTGTTCTATCACTCAGGTTTCAGGGAAAACACATCAAACGCACACGTTTACTACCTACGTCCTTTAGCACTGAGACACTGAGCTCAGACTGAGCTTCAAGGGGAACTCCACCCATTTTTACCAAAATTCCTGCATAATTAAGTGGTTAAGATGTAATCAGAGCGGTTCAGAGTGGATTGGTGTGAAACGCTCCGTTCTAGAGAAACTTACCGAGTCAGAACTGCTCACAGTGGTGGTGATAGGAACCAGACGTCCACCTCTAAAAGCTCCCTCACAGAAAGTTCCTACATGAAATGGTTATGAATTCACTGCCTGATGACTGAGACACTGTTTTCTGATAGTTTAGAGAACTTAAACTCCATTCATGGTGGAGGGATACATGCAGGGCGCTGTGAGGCAAAATAGTCCCCAAAGAAAACTTATTATTTCAGATTTTCCACTATTTTCCATCATCAACATTCCATATAAACTCAGAAGACTCGTGTAGGTTCACTGGTGGTTCTGGATAGTAAATAAAATGGCTATATTTATTTGTGTTGTAGTCATGGCGACCCCTGTTTCCTATCACCACCACTGTAAAGACATCTGAACCATTTCACACCAAACCACTCTGAATCTCTCTGTTTACATCTCACACACTGAGTTATGGGGGAATTTAGAAACATTGGAGGAGTTTCCCTTTAAACACACACGCACTGAAACAGTTTACAGCATTTCAATAAATCAGCAAAACTGCTTTTTAGCCTAATTTGCATTTACGTTGCAGTGTTGATTGTGACCACAGGAGGGAGCAGTGCAGAGATAATCAGAAATTTAGGTTGAGAAAGTGAAAATGCTGTTAGTGTCAGTAAAGAAGTGAAATTTAAAGCACAGAATCTCATCATAATTTCATAATTCAATTTTTGCCATACTTTCAGTTCTCACCAGTACAAATTTATGGCTTTCCCCAAATAATTTAAATGAGAGGAACCATTTTTAATAGTATGAATTAAATGTGACGCGGCCGTTCAGAATTAAAATGTTTTTCCTCTTTAATCAGAACTGAAATGTAGAAATGTAGCTATGTAGATGTTAAGTTTTCTCATTGTAATAATAATCGTAATGTTCTTATGTTGAATTACAGTGCCATTTGATTCACGCTAGTAAAAATTGTTCCCTGCTTTTAACTGAATTGGAAAAAAATGTCCAAAGTGAAGCTGCAATGTTACTGAATTCTGACCTGCTAGACTAACAGCAGTTTTACTGGTTCAGACTGAATTTAGATTTGGATTAAACTCTTTGTGCTGCAGATCAGACTAAGTCTAAACCCAGCCTTTGTTTCTGCTCTGAATGGTACAGGGTTCTCTGCTGGTTCCTGCTGCTCTGTGCAGTCCTATGTGGTTTCTCTGAGTGGGTCTCGGGGGTCCTGTGCGTGTCTGAGGGGCAAATGATTTCAGAGCGATGCAGTCGAGGGTTTGGCTCATTATCAGTAACGGTGCTGCTATTAGTCAGAGTTCTCAGGAGCTCTCGGAGAACCAGTTATACAATCAAAAGCACACAGTGGTGCCAAAGTGGTGCTGCGGCATAGAAAAGTGCTAATAGAGTTCATTATAAACTGCATCCTCGTCGTCCTAAACGTTCTAATGAGTAAACAGAGCGGAGACTTTATTCATTCAGGACGATGAGAGTTTATAGCTCTGTTATTCTGTTACACAGCTGAGCTATATTTACGAGTAGAATTGAAATGTTTTATCATGTTCTTGTAAATCATAATTCATTTTTTTATTACTTTTCTTTTCTCTAATGTGTTGCACATAATTAGGATGCTAATTGGTGATTAATGATAATTAATAATGACTTTTATTCAAAACTTGAAGTGCTATTTTTAGTTTTTAATGGTTTTTGTTTGTGTATAAAGAGAAGTGTTTATTCTGCAGTTCTGACAGCCAAACTTTACTGACTGTCCCTTAACGCAAGAAAGGACATGTCTCAAAGGGGAATTCCACCGATTTTCCAAAATTCCAGCATAATTTAGTGGTTAAGATGTAAACAGAGTGGTTCAGAGTGGTTTGGTGTGAAACGCTCCGTTCTAGATAAACTTACCGAGTCAGAACTGTTCACAGTGGTGGTGATAGGAACCAGATGTCCACCTCTAAAAGCTCCCTCACAGAAAGTTCCTACATGAAATGGTTATGAATTCACTGCCTGATGACTGAGACACTGTTTTATGATAGTTTTAAGAAGATTAGCCCCACCCATTGGGTCTACAGTAGTTTAGCCCCACCCATTCAGCCTATAAAAACAATACAGGGCAGCAAATCAGAACAGAGCTGATTTGCATATATCAGTCTTAAAGGCACAGTAACAAAAATAGCCAGTTCAATTCAGTACTGAAAACAACACAAATGTTCTAAGTGGACCTCTGGGAGAAGAAAAATGTAGGATATTGGCCCTTTAATATACATACAGGTCGCTGTAAGATAAAATAGTCCCCAAAGAAAACTTATTATTTCAGATTTTCCACTATTTTCCATCATCAACATTCATATAAACTCAGAAGACTCGTGTAGGTTCACTGGTGGTTCTGGATAGTAAATAAAATGTCTATATTTGTGTTGTAGTCATGGCGACCCCTGGTTCCTATCACCACCACTGTAAAGACATCTGAGTCTGTAAGTCAAATGACTTTGTTTACATCTTGACCATTGAATTATGTTGAAAATATAAACTTTGGGTGGAATTCCCCTTTAAACAGTGCAGATATGATCTGATTGATTTCATGCGTTTGATGATGAACGATGTGAAGGTTTGGTTGTTCAGAGTTTGGAGTAACAGGCTGCTGCAGTCTTCATGTTGTGCTGCTGGAGATGATCCGACGCTCTGATGTGAACGTGACGCAGTATGTTTGTCGCAGACTTGATTGACAGCTGTGATGACATCACTGCTCTGGGAGAGAGAGCGAGTGACTTATGTTGTCTGTGAATGTGTTTTGGTGCTCTAACTATGTGTATGTCAACCTGCACGAGGAGGAAAGAGATCAAAGCCACTCAGTTACAGTTTTTTAAATAAAGACTGATGTCAGTTCACTGTGAGTGAGGCTCGTTATTCTCATCAATCAGACATTCCCGCTGAAATTTACGGTTATTAACAGTTTATTAAAGTAGCTGAACTCTCTATTAGCAGGACTGTCTGTATACTTTTGGACCTATGGTGCATTTCCATAACTGTGTACCAACATATACAATGATGTATAACGTGGTTATTACACAGTGAATATGACTGTCTGTGCTAATATTGATTAATATTTTCTAAAGAGATCCCAAAGAGGGCTTAAAGGGCCAAAACCACAGAAAATCAAATTTCTCTCACTTTTGGAATAAGAATAGTTTAGTTTGTTCAAGATTCACTCACCAGTATATACAGTTCATCTATAGAAACTAAACTGCAGCCTGTTTTGAATTCATTGTGATGTCAGCAGTTTAGCTCCACCCATCCAGCCTACAGCAGTTTAGCCCCACCCACTCAGCCTACAGCAGGTTGGCTCCACCCACTCAGCCTATATCAGGTTAGGTCCACCCATTCAGCCTACAGCAGGTTAGCTCCACCCACTCATCCTACAGCAGGTTAGCTCCACCCATTCAGCTACAGCAGTTTAGTGTTTCAGCCCAGACTGCTGTTAAAATGAGACACAATACAGGGCAGCCAATCAGAAAAAGCAGAGCTCATTTAAATATATCACTTTTAAAAGCACAGTAGTAAAAACAGATGATCACGTAGAAATTAACTCTGACTCACTTTAATACATACCACCTCACAGACACTGGACCTGGACCTCAGGGGAGATAAAACGCTAGAAAATGCAGAATATCGGTTCTTTAAGGAGCTCATGAAAGGGTTATATTATAAACATCTAGTGTGTAATGATGACAGTGGCCACTGAGAGGCGCTGTGTCTCTATACAAAACATTCCTATCAGTCATAAACAACCGCTGGAGTCCAGACGGAGAAACAGCAGCTCTGCAGCTTTCAGACCATCACAGACCACAAACCACCAGGAGAACCAGAGAGAACCCACTGAGCTCCACCTGACAGAACAAACTGAGCTCTACCTGAGAGAACACACTGAGCTCCACCTGAGAGAACTCACCGAGCTCCACCACAGAGAACCCACTGAGCTCCACCAGAGAGAACCACTGAGCTCCACCTGAGAGAACTCACCGAGCTCCACCTGAGAGAACTCACCGAGCTCCACCACAGAGAACCCACTGAGCTCCACCAGAGAGAACCACTGAGCTCCACCTGAGAGCTCCACCTAAGGCTGAACTGCACTCAGAGGATAAATACCTGCACACTGCACAGAGCTCAGCATGAGCTGATCTTCAATCAGCTGTGCAGATTTATACTCCTGTTATACGTCTATTTGCTGTAATTTGAATTTATGTATTATTTTATTCATGCTGAATAATTAACATGATTAATGTTAACTTACTCAATTACTTATAATTTATTAATGTATTCATGCAGACAATTTAACGTTATTAAAGCTAATTTATTTAATTAATGCTTATTGATTAAATTCATTAATGCTAATCCTCATATTATAACTTTATTAGTGCTAACAGGCTGCAATTAATGTAAAAGTTCAAAACACAAAGCAAGCTGGGGTGTTTTTCAAAGCCTATAGTGAGTGTGAGAGTGTGAGAGAGTTAGAACATCGGCGTGGGGAGCTAAAGTCATCTGAATATCATCTGAATAAAGAGCGGATGATTTTTAGAAGTGAACACATTCATATTTGAAAACACTCCAGTGTTAATTATGTGAGTAAACAAATCAGTGTGGCTGTTACAGGCTGAGCCCAGTGCAGCGTCACCTGCCTGACCCACTGACCCGCAGGGACGGCTCAGTTTATGAGAGGAGAATCTGCAGGTACACTACATAACCAAAAGTGTCTGGATGCTCCTGCTACTGAGTGAGTCCAAATACTTTCAGGTCACTCACTGCAGACACAGCTTGTGTAATCTCCATAGAAAAGCACTGACCAATAGAATGGGACACTCTGGAGCAGCTGCACCTGATCCTAAGGTCTCAATGCCCAGTGCCAAGAGTGGGCTAGAGGGGTATAAAGCCCCCCAGCATTGGGCTGTGGAGCAGTAGAACTGTGTTCTCTGGAGTGATGGAGCTCCATCCAATACCTTTGGGATGAGTTGGAGTGACCCAGAGCTGACCATCCAACATCAGTACCTGACCTCACTA